ATGTCCGAGGCTATGTCACGACGAGTCCTACATGTAAATAGCGAACCACTCATCGAAAATCTACGACGCGTCTGAACTGCCATCCTTGAAAAACTTTTTTTTTTCACGAATATATGCCTAATTTACAGTTGCAACTGTAAATTAGCACTAATTTACAGTTGCAACTGTGAATTAGGCAGAAGAAACTTTTTATTTCTAAATATCGCCTAATTTACAGTTGCAACTGTAAATTAGAACAAGAGAACTTTTTTTTTCTACACATCTCCTAATTTACAGTTGCAACTGTAAATTAGAGTCTCACAGTCTCAGTGCTCACAATTTCTCACCAGATCAACAGACAACAACCCTCTCCGGAATCGTACGCAAATGTCGGGAAACTGATTAATGGGTCCGAATTCATTGTTTCGCCAAAGGGCATACATTCTTCGATCATCGACTATAACACTGAAAAATTCCCACTTCCGGTTCGTATGCCGCCCTTGGGTAGTGACCATGATACTAATCATGGGGAGTGACCTAGGCGTATGCCAACCAGCAAGCGCCCCAATTTTCGTGAGATAAGATCATTGCACTTCATTGCCGAGCTTCTTCTTAAACAAAATTTTGAAATTTTTCCCAACCGAAAGGTGAGGTCAGGGCCGGGGCAAGGACTGGGTTGCGACTCTCCGAGGCACTTCTGATTGTTAACTCGGACTGAGTGAGTGGGTCCCTTAAATGGCATACCGACTTAGAACATCGATAAACCCTGTGTCGCGGGCCAACAGTCTATTACTTCTTCGCGTGCTATCGAAGAATGAAAGCTGCGCTGCCTATGTCTGTTAGTCTGGTGAGAAATTGTGAGCACTGAGACTGTGAGACTCTAATTTACAGTTGCAACTGTAAATTAGGAGATGTGTAGAAAAAAAAAGTTCACTATTTCTAATTTACAGTTGCAACTGTAAATTAGGCAGAAGAAACTTTTTTTTTCAAAATATCTCCTAATTTACAGTTGCAACTGTAAATTAGGCCTAATTCACAGTTGCAACTGTAAATTAGCGCTAATTTACAGTTGCAACTGTAAATTAGGAAGTTTTTCGAAAAAAAAAGTTTTCTCTCTCTAATTTACAGTTGCAACTGTGAATTAGTGCTAATATACAGTTGCAACTGTAAATTAGTCGATATTTAGAAAAAAAAAGTTTCTTGTGCCTAATTTGCAGTTGCAACTGTAAATTAGTGATAATTTACAGTTGCAACTGTAAATTAGGCAAATATTGGTGAAAAAAAAAAAGTTCTTCAAGGATGGCAGTTCAGACGCGTCGTAAAAATCATGAAACTATATGTACATATTATATGCTTATGTTTTGTTGGCGAGGACGCTCGTTTTATTCAAATTATTTTCGATAATGTTCATCTGCTTCACTAGAAATTATTATTAGTAGTTATGTAGTACTTATAGTAGTATAGTAGTAGCAGCTTTGTTATTCAAAATGGAACACCTTATATTTTATTACATTTTTCGATTCTTCTAATTGAGCTATGATTTCGTTGATCAAGCTCAAAGTATCTATACCTATACGTAGAATGTGAAAAATCGAGATTTTTTTTGTATCGAAACTATACAATACCTATATTGATTTGTCAAAATGGCTTACATGTGTCCCTATATATCCTAACATTCTATTTACTATCTACTGATGCCATTTAATTGAAACAAATACAGGGTGGATCAGATTTCAGAATTATATAAAAGAAGTACTAGTATGCCTACTAAAAAAATATATATATTTGAAATAAACAGAACAAATATATCACATAAAAAAAACACACTCTAATATTCAACATGAAATAAAATTCAATCCCACTGGATGTATTTAAAAATATAAACAGTGTGCATGTCACTTCTATAATGGAATATCAACCCGTATATCTGACGTAACTGTTTAATTTTAAGGAGCGATAGATATATATACCAACTATGACCAAAGTGAGGTAATCTTCAGTGAAAAACACTGCTCTGATGGACCCACCAACATTTCCGGAAAATGATATTAGGAGGCAAGATATAGGTTAAAAATCACTTCGGATTCGAAACCAGGACGTAACCCTGTACCTCGAAAACGAAGTAAGTTTAGGACAAATGTTTATATGACCTTTATTCATCATATTATATCACAAGGAATCATCCCTTGAATTATTTCGGTGTTATTTAGATACACCCTGTATAGATCATTCTTCATCCCAACATTTTTCCCATAGCGAAGTTCAGCAAATACCGATGGCGAGAGCACTATGTTTATTGATTTGATGTCTACCTATAATATATGTAAAACAAGAAATTTGACTCCAAAATAATTCAGGCACGCGCCTTTAGTCATAACTAGTCATAACGTAGTTACTGCTGCCCGTTTACGTTTTCCCACCGCTTAGAGAACGATCGGGCGTGTTCGGTGAACACACGGGTATGATCTCGAGACTCTTGTAGAAATTATCACCATCGGTCGACCCCAGTATATATCTAGCACATTTATCGGTACCAGAAAGTTTTTATTTTACTCCCACAGATGCTACTGAACTCAGAGAAACCTTCGTTGATATAAAAAATAAGAACTCCTCTGGATGGGATGATATTTCAGTGAACATACTGCTCAAATTGCCACTTACACTGCTACAAGTATTGGCAGAAGCAATCAACTATTCTTTTTCAGTAGGTGTTTTTCCTAGCTGCTTAAAAATAGCAAATATCATTCCACTATATAAAGGCGGCGACCACGATTCTCCTTCAAATTTCAGACCGATTGCCTTGCTACCCGCGTTAGCGAAGGTAATCGAAAAATTAGTTAAAAAAAGAATGGTAACTTTTATATGCAAACATGGTATTCTTAGTACAGATCAATATGGTTTTCAATCCTCAAAAAACACCAATGATGCAATATTCGCATTTCTTGAGCGGCTGTACTTACGGCTGAATGATGGGGAAGTAGCTGCAGCAGTGTTCTATGATCTATCAAAGGCCTTTGACTGTGTAAATCACAGAATACTGCTTCAAAAGCTGCAAACCTATGGTTTTAGAGGTGTAGCTTTGCTCTGGTTTCAATCATATTTGACTGAACGTATCCAAAGCGTCATCGTCGCTAATACAAGCTCTAAGCATTTAGCACTGAAACATGGAGTACCGCAAGGGTCTGTACTGGGACCCCTGTTATTTTTACTATATGTGAATGACTTAATACATGTCGACATTCATGGACAATTCACAGTATCTGCTGATGACACTACTATACTTTGGCATGGCATGGATTACACATTTTTAGAAGACGTCATCATTGAGGACCTGAGCAAAGTTTAAAAATGGTGCGACGCCAACTTATTATCTTTCAATGCTACTAAGACAGGTATCATCAACTTATTCAAGTGTGTTATTAGCAATGTATTTCTCGAAAATGATCGTATCAGCATCAAAGCCATGAATAATTTCTTGGGTCTAAATATTGATGGAAATCTGAAATTTGAAGGGCATATATTAAATTTATCTAAAAAGCTAGCGTCTGGCTGTCATGCCGTACGAGTTACATCTAACGAATTAACTGGTTACGGGTTAACTGCGGCAAGGAATGCATACTTTTCACTTATTGAATCTCATCTGCGTTATGATTTTGCTTCTGGGGAATGACTGCGAACTATTTATTCGATAGAGTTTTTATGCTCCAAAAGAGAGCTCTTAGATACATGTGCAAAGCCGGCTCGAGGGACGCTTGTAGACCTTTATTTTTCCTCCATGGAATATTGCCCCTGGCCTGCATTTTCATTTTGGAAACCGTATGCTTAGTACATAAAAAATATAAAGAATTCAGATACGCGTCATCGATTCACACTACTCGCGGCAGTTCTTCCCTAAACAGTAAATTACCTATTCCCATATCAACTCTTACTAAGAACTCTATTATCTACGAAAGCAAGAAGTTATTCAATCATTTGCCCCTGCACCTAAAAAGAATTGAAAATGAACAAAAGTTCAGGAAATCCGTGAAACAGTTTCTTTTGGAGAGAGCTTGTTATAATCTCAATGAATTCTATCAGGTTTCCTAATTGTTATTTTATTATCTATGTTTTGAGTGATCTTTTTTATGACGTTTTTTATAATATTTTATAACTTTTATTATTATCATATACCTGTATGACATTGACATTGGTATAAGGCAGCTCTTTTGCCGTTACCAACAAATGTGTGTATGTTTATTTATATTTTTGTATATTATATTTATCGTTTATATTCAGGATACTGATAAGACTATGTCGTGTGACTTCGGCCGCTATGTAAACTTACTCATGTGATTAGTACCTAAGTTCTCAAACGCTTTGTCAATAAGAATTTATATTCTTCAGGCAATAAAGTATATTTTGATTTGATTTGATTCTTACGGGTGATCATTTTGGAAAATGGTCACCACGGATGCCAGGAGACAGGAGACTCAAGTTCTCGAACCATTCCCAAACCTCAGTGTCAGATTGGCCACAGTGAATCACGTGATACACTATAGACGCATGCGCACTCGCTCGTAGAAAAACTCAGAATAATTAACGGGACCTTCGAGGTCTCCATGCTATTTGTGGACCAGAATTGAACTCGCTGACCAAACTCAGCCTCTACAATTTAATTACGAAACTAATAGAAAAAAAAAACACGAATCTCAACATATCACGTGTTGGGAATGGTTCGAAAGATTCCTGCCAGGAACCAGTTGGCCGATGGCTCCACATCCAAATCTCTTCTCATTATATCAGTCCACCTGTATGCCAAATTTGGTGCCTTTACCAAAAAGTGCACAATTCATTGAAATGTTTTAGCTTAACTGCTGCGCTATTTGTAGAAACCAGAAGAGGAAATCTAAAAAAATGTAGAGGAATTAATATTTCATATTCTCGACTAACGTCTAGACATTTCCAACTCATTTTTCCAAACAATTTCATTAGATTTCAGGAGTATAATTGATTTTATCGAGACCATTTTCTTCATGTTTCAGACCTGAAACACTAGCAGAACAGGTTATGGAAATAGTGAAATATGCACCAAATGGATCAACGTGGGTTGTGGAAGGAGGAGAGGCAGCCTATGAATACATATTCCCCGATAGGACAGAAATGAAGAGAAATGTAATAGAAACATTATAGTTTATACCATCTGAACAGTATCAATTATTATTTCACATTTTTATCATACACATACCCTCAGCATAGATCCCTCAGAAAATTTTAGAAGAACACAAGAAATATCGCATGAATATGAAGGGTTCTTTCCATTCCATTGCAGACATCAATTTCACTAGCCAAATTCTGAAAAAAAAATAATGTCTCATTTTATATAATAGTACACCAGGGAAAAATCAATTTGGGATTATCACCAGCGCTATTGAGATTTTGAATTGCCAACATAACGGAAGTACACGAATGAAAAAAAAAACTTCCTGTGAGAGGTAAAATTATTTGGCTCTTCAGTTTCGAAAAAAATATTGAATTGCTGCAGATTCCTCCAACCCGTTGACGAAATCGTTTGTACTTACCATGATCATTGTTTTTACATTTTGAATCCCATATTGTTTGGTATGTTTATGAAAAATTGTTCTGTCCTAATTATTGTCATAATATTATTTTAGGTACCATTGTCTGATGATGGCCGTAGTGTCGAAACCGGTAACTATTTGAAGAAGTATTTTATATAAAGTGTGGTCGACCGACTTTGTGTTGTTGTCTTTCATTTTCCTTTTGAAAATTATTTGGCTTCAGTATGGATCCTTTGGCGTCCATATAAGACCTATAAGATCTGTGCAATCCAAGAATATCCAATCAATGTCTTTATCACTATTCTAAAATGATTATAACAATATCCTTTTTGAATTCCAATAATATTATATAGGTACGCTTGTTCATATTCTGAAGGTACACATCAAAACTTTCGAACGCATCAGTTACACAATATACAAATTAATCAATTCATGATGACAAAATTGTCCATAGCCTATGGCATACATCTCTTTCTACAAACGTCAAAATATGACAATAAGGTCCGCGCATTGATACCAATTTGCCAAGTGACACTTTTTTCAGTTTCCTACCTTACCACAACACCATGAACGAAGCAGTGCGCGAAGTAAAACGATCATATACGTATTAATAAACAATACGGATCATAACGGGTGCCATTTTTGGCTTCATCCTGGCACCCGTTATGATCCGTATTGTTTATTAATACGTATATGGTGCCAGGGTGAAGCCAAAAATATGAAACAAATGAATATCCATAAGGATTTGGTGGCATGATACGTACACGGAAAAAAAACTTTAATAACAACTAGTGAAATTTGCATACTACCAAGTAAAAATTTGCATACTATATGGGACAAGTACTCGCCTCATCAGCCACAAGAAAAATGATATTTCTGAATCTGATCACTTGTTGTTATTAATGTGATTTCAGGAACACATGTAACCTACTGATATCAAACGCTTCATTAGGGACAGAATCTTTGTTTTATTGGCCTTAGTGTACATTTTACTTGCAGTTATACAACTGAATCATTGGATAGGTGGTCAGTTCGATAAGTATAGGTGACTTGTTTCACTTGGCCTCATAGAATACCTCACTTGTGGGTAGTGTACTTTTCACTTGGAGTTATGCAACGACATTATTGGCTAGGTGCTTATTTCAATAACTATAATTATCTTGATTCACTTGGCCTCATCTATAATGTCTTACCTTGGATAGCTTTCATCCCATCTTTGTTATCGGGATACACCAGACTCAGTCGAACTTTCTTCCTGTCTTCACTCCTAATTCACTTGGCATCATTCAAACAAGGATCATTTGATTCATTTGTAATGTATCATGCCTTATTTTCTTACAATACATTTTTATTTCACAAATGAACAATTCAATGTCACCAAGAAAACAATGGTTCAGTTCATATCTTGCAAATGTTTTCTAAGTGACAATTAATAATAATATAGGATTCCGAGTGTACCTACCATAAGGGTGGCCATCGGCTAATTAAAAAAAATTGATATATTCCTGTTTGAAATCATAATTGGCACTGTTCTATACTTTATTTGTTGAATGGTTGTCTCAATACATTATTTAGATAAATTGATGAACACACGGAAAAAAATGGTCCAAGTAAAATGTTTTCCTGACTTGTTTTGTATCGGGATAAGAAAAATAATACCTATTCCAGAAACAATTTTATTCAGCCTCTAGTAAAATGATAATTCTGAACGCATGAACTTGTAGCTATAATATCATCCACCTATAGCAAATAGTTTTCATCTTAGATAATTCACTCTGTATAGCCACAGGAAAACATTTTATAAACTCTGGTGAAGTGTATTTTAGACTTTATCAACTTCGAGTTTCTGAAAAGGAAATAATAACTACAGAAACTCGTGTTACAAGCACAATACAATTGTTTATCTGCGGTACAACCCAATATACCTACGGTAATACAACATGTTCACCTGCCCAGTAATCGGGAATAATCGTCGCCCTCTCGTGTTGTATATCCGAATTGATCAGAATCCATCAGCGTCACTATAGCGTCAGTTTCGTCGTGACTTCGTGAGAGTATGTTCAGTTTGAGGATTTGGTGCACGTAGTAAATCGAAAAATAATTTTTGGTGTTGTATTCATTATATTATGCTGAGGAAGTATGACTCATCACCACGAGAGGTATAGAAGGTGCCATTCAGAATCCCTTTCGGGGGCGGCCGAGAGTTATAGACAACCAATAGTGCTGTTTTACTTTTTATCGTTCTGTTATTTACTTAAAAGTTAATCATTGTGTAGAAATTACGTTATTCATAGTGATAAGTTCTTAAATAAAACTGTTCATTTGTGAAATAAAAATGTATTGTAAGAAAATAAGGCATGATACATTACAAATGAATCGAATGATCCTTGTTTGAATGATGCCAAGTGAATTAGGAGTGAAGACAGGAAGAAAGTTCGACTGAGTCTGGCGTATCCCGATAACAAAGATGGGATGAAAGCTATCCAAGGTGAGACATGATGAACTACCCACAAGTGAGTCATAATAGATGAGGCCAAGTGAATGAAGATAATTGTAGTTATTAAAATAAGCACCTAGCCAATAATGTCGTTGCATAACTCCAAGTGAAAAGTACACTACCCACAAGTGAGGTATTCTATGAGGCCAAGTGAAACAAGTCACCTATATTTATCGAACTGACCACCTATCCAATGATTTCGTTGTATAACTGCAAGTAAAATGTACACTTAGGCCAATAAAACAAATATTCTGTCCCTAATAAAGCGTTTAATATCAGTAGGTTACATGTGTTCCTGAAATCACATTAATAACAACAAGTGATCAGATTCAGAAATATCATTTTTCTTGTGACTGATGAGGCGAGTACTTGTCCCATATAGTATGCAAATTTTTACTTGGTAGTATGCAAATTTCACTAGCTGTTATTAAAGTTTTTTTTCCGTGCAGTTATTCGTAAAAAAATATGAACATTGTGAGAAATAAAAATATAACTAATGATTCGTTGAGGAAAGGAAACGAAAAATGTAGATTTTCACCAGTTTTAATTGAACAGGAATCCTACTATATAATGTCAATTCATCCTACATATCATCAGCAAAATACATGAAGGAGTTTTATTTAAGAACTCATCACTATGAATAACGTCATTTCTACACAATGATAAACTTTTAAGTAAATAACAGATCGATAAAAAGTAAAACAGCACTATTGGTTGTCTATAACTCTCGGCCGCCCCCAAAAGGGATTCTGAATGGCACATTCTATACCTCTCGTGGTGATGGGTCATACTTCCTCAGCATAATATAATGAATACAACACCAAAAATTATTTTTCGATTTACCACGTGCACCAAATCCTCAAACTGAACATACTCTCACGAAGTCACGACGAAACTGACGCTAGTGACGCTGATGGATTCTGATCAATTCGGATATACAACACGAGAGGGCGACGATTATTCCCGATTACTGGGCAGGTGAACATGTTGTATTACCGTAGGTATATTGGGTTGTACCGCAGATAAACAATTGTATTGATGTGCTTGTAACACGAGTTTCTGTAGTTATTATTTCCTTTTCAGAAACTCGAAGTTAATAAAGTCTAAAATACACTTCACCAGAGCTTATAAAATGTTTCCCTGTGGCTATACAAAGTGAATTATCTAAGATGAAAACTATTTGCTATAGGTGGATGAAATTATAGCTACAAGTTCATGCGTTCAGAATTATCATTTTACTAGAGGCTGAATAAAATTGTTTCTGGAATAGGTATTATTTTTCTAATCCCGATACAAAACAAGTCAGGAAAACATTTTACTTGGACCATTTTTTTCCGTGTAGTCATCAAAGACATGCGTTTCGGTGGACAATGACGTTTACTAGCCTTTCAATCAAAGCAGTATGTGCCTGATCGTATCTCACTTTTCCTTATGGATAGTCATTTGTCTTCAAAAATCGGCTTCATGTTTCGCTATGGAAACAGATAGAGATTATCCGTATTGATTATTAATACGTATATGAAAACGATGCGAGTAGTACATACTTCGCGCATTTGTAGGTTAGGTAACTATTAGAGATTTTTGTATTAACATCATCTTTAACAATAATGCAGACCTTTCAATGAAGAGTTCTTATAGTGATATAGGTCCATATTTCAGTTTCACAGAACTATAAAGAATGAAATATATTGCTACTGGTGAAAACTAATGAATATAAACCTCAGTATTAAATAATATTACTACCACGAGACCTTATACGCCTCGGGATATGATCTTGGTCCCTAATGGGTGATAATGATATTCCTTAAAACTTTGGTGAATAAATAACTAATTTTCTGTGAAGGGAAAAAAGTTCGAAATTTCATCTCTGTGGTCAGGTTATAGAATGTTACTTTTCTTTTATTACATTTTTCCCCACGGGAAAGAACTACAAGTCCTTTATTCTTCCATTCGACTCTTTGCGGTTACGTAAATTACCATGAAAGCAATATAGTAATAATAATTATAATAATGATAATATTGAGAAAGAAAGAAATACAGTTCTAAACACCCTAAATGGATCACTCACCATCACTCATAACTCTTTCTCGACGACCTGTATTTTTTGAAAAAAAATTACCGATTTTCATGCGGTTTTCGGTATCATCTGTGATATTTCATTGACTTCAAAAAGAGCTAGAACACTGTGAAAGAGTTCAAAGATCGAAACTTACACAGGGTGTAAAGTGGAACCATATTACACTGTGGTCTATATTCGCGATGCTGCCAGAACTCAAGGATTTTATTTTCTGATCAGTTATATTATCATAAATGGGGACTTTATTTCGGAATATTTTCGTGATTTCT